CAGGGCCCCATCCAACCTGCTTTTGAACACCTCCAGGGACGGAGCATCCACAGCCTCTCTGGGCAGTCTGTTCAAGCACCTCAGTACTATCTCTGTAACAACAACAGACAACAAGAAGCAGCGCAAACTGAGACTTCGAAAATTGAAACAGGACTATAATAAAAGCTTTCTCATTATGCAAGTAACCTAACACTGAAACAGACTGAGAAGTAGTGAAATCTCTATCTTTCAAGGTTTACAAGGCACAGTCAGAAAAAAACACACTGATGATAATCTCATTTTACATAGCAGATAGACTAGATTGACTTCCAGGTATCCCTACATATCCCATTTTTTAAAAGCTTTCACACTAATTATGTTGAAATCTCTATTTTTCATGCCATTTCCACAAATGAATTTTACCTAGGGGAAGATTCAATGAATTCCAAGTACTGGACATCAGCTATGGCAAGCAAATTGCTCCTCTATAGAGGGAACATCTACTACTTATGATTATCCAAATGCTCTCCATGGAGTTGAACTTGTTTTCAGGATCTTTCAGTTTATATAGATGAACTGCTTTGTGAACAAGAGATTTTGTGATATAGTGGTTTTTTTCAGGAGGAAATAACTGGTGGATGTAATCACTAGGGCAAAGAAGCAAGGTGTAGTGATTTACAAGATTCTCAGAGATTCCAAAATTTTGAGGTTAAAAACAGGGATTTATAAAATAACCTGTTTCATTGAAAAAGTTGCAGTTGGATTACAATATAAAAGTGAATCAACAGTGCCACACCTTTGGAAAGAGGTATACACCTTAATTAAATATGACACCACATTGAAAGGTATAGAATAGGCAAGGGGACAGTAAACAGTTCTCCTGCTCCCTCCTGCTCTGTTAAAGTCTCAGTTGGATTTCTCTTTTCCAATTTTCGGTACTGCAGTGTGTGAAACATATAAACTTGAAGAGAGCTCAGTAGAATATTAAAAACTGGATTCTAGAAAACAAAACAGGACTCAAGACTAAACGAATTAGGACTCTTTAGCTCAAATAAATAAAAATGAAAAATAATAATAATTTTTTAAAAGGGGGGATTTTATTTAGGTATATAAAAAGCTGCAAGTACAAAATAAATAAATAAATAAATAAATAAATGAAAATTCTCCATACCTATTAAATAAAAGAACTGATGAATTTAAAATGTAACGAAGACTGAGATTGGAATCAGAGTATTAGAAAATGTTATTGTAAGTAAAAGTAAAAGTAATATGATGAGAATAGTTAAATGCTAGAATAAAATTTGCAGGAGATTGTGGAATCATATATGTGAACTATGAGCATGCAGAGATGTTGTTCAGGAAGGAGAAGATTAGATAATGACTGTATCTTTTTATTTTTTTGTTTTGGCTAAATAGTAAACCATTGAGTTGCCTGTTCTGTACAATACATTCAGAGTATTTTACGGTGCACTTAATACAACACTTATTTTATATTGTAAATATTGTATTATTATGTGAATTATTTTCTAATAGTTAATTCTAATAATTTTATACTAAGAAAAGATGTTGTTATATTTCTCCTTTGAATTTGTTTGAGTTCTTTCTCTTCCATCTGTCTTGTCTCATGGACTTAAAGTAACTGTATCTTGGAACCATGAAAATTATCATTATTTTTCTTGCACTGATAACTTCATAAATGATTTTGAGTCACATGCATCCAAAACATTTTCATAGCTGAGGTCTTTTTGACAAGCTTCTGCTCATGAGGAAAAGTACATATAATAAAACATTTAAGATGAAAAAAAGTGATTTCAGTTCATGGATACTTTTCAAAAAATTTTTCTCCAATCAACAGACTTAAGGAAACAGTTATCGCCCATGAGCTATTTCTGAATGGTAAAAAATAGATATATTTAAAAGGAAATTAAAAAGGAAGCAATATGCTAAATAAATTATTATTTCAGAATCATGAGCACAATTAAGGCTGTAATGAACATATGCGACTCACACCATTTTCAGTTTAATTTACTACAGGTGGTTCTTTGCGGAGTCTTTTCCCTTTATCAATTTATTTCTGCAATTCTCAACAAATCACACTGTAAGTTAATAGTATTGGAGGGAGGGAACGGGGAAGAAAGTGGGGAGAGGCTGTCAAAGCCCAGTTCAGGTGTTTTTAGCATACAAGGAATTGTCTATCTCTGATTCTGGAACACACTATTTCACGTGTCCAGACAATGTAAGATTGTAGTCCTAGTCCAAGCTCACATGCTGCTGTCAAGATGGCTTAATAGAACAACATTTTTATTTTTTTTTCTTTTGGCAAATACGCTGTGTACCAAGAAATATATTACTCACTTATAAAAAAATATTTTTCAAATCCAAGTTAAATTGAATGAAAATTCAAAATCAAAAAGATGTTCCACATTTTTGAAAATTCTGAATGTTTCATTTTGATATCAGCATTTAGTGTTTTTTTTAATGTGGAAGAAAACCACTTTTGGAAGACAGAGGAAAAAGTCACTTTCTACCTGCCTACCTGTACTTCATACACAAAAGTGCATGATTAAAAGCCCGCTCTCTTAACAGAGCATAAACTTTTCTCTCAATATAAAATAATCTTTTTTCATAGGTTATTCTGCTTTGTTTGCCTTCTTGTTTTAACTGACATGTAATGTTTTGGAGACACCGCAATTCAAAAGTGGTATTTCTTGACTGAGCTGAATCACTGCCTATGTCAGGGCTGTGTAGCTGCAAACTTCATCACATCCCACACACTGGCTTACTATCTCAGGTGAAAACCTCCATATAAGTTGGTCAGAGCAAAACAATCACTCTGGGACTCAGAATCTACAAAGGTCTCTTATCTTTAGCAGTTCTCCTGTACAGGGCAAATACAACCCAAGAGCTGCATGGGAATTCGCACCTGGCATTTCATCCATATTTTGTATTATTGAGCATTTGAATCTAATGACATTAAAAATAATGTAATTATGTCACTGACCATCTAGGGAGTTGTAAGTGAAATGAAATGAGCATGTATCATAGAATCATAGAATCATAGAATCATAGAATCATAGAATCACAGAATCATAGAATCATAGAATGGCCTGGGTTGAAAAGGACCACAACGATCATCTGGTTTCAACCCCCTGCTGTGTGCAGGGTCACCAACCAGCAGACCAGGCTGCCCAGAGCCACATCCTGCCTAGCCTTGAATGCCTCCAGGGATGGGGCATCCACTGTTCCAGTGCATCACCACCCTCTGTGTGAAAAACTTCCTCCTAATATCTAACCTAAATCTCAACTGTCTTAGTTTAAAACTATTCCCTCTTGTCTTATCACTATGAACTCATGTGAACACTCGTTAAGTAATTTGTAAGTAATATCATTTAAATTCATTTCTTATAGTATCTCCTTATCCCATGTTTGTTGCACTTCACTTACATGTTCCCTGCAGATATGTATTAACATCACTGTTTCATTTTAATGGTGTTACAACATCTCCCCAGACTTGCCCTGAGATTGTAGCACTACTGTCTTCTGTATCCTACATTACTATCTCACATTGCCACAGATTTTTATTTTTTTCATTTCTAGAAAGGGACAATTCCCCCTATATTTCTTAGCACCTTGATTCCAAGTCTTTTACTATGACTATGTTTTGCATTAAAGTAACTAAAATTTCCTGAATCTAAGCAACACAGCAGAATCAAGTGCAATTGTGATAAATCCTAGGGAAATCCCTGGGGCTCTGAGCTGTGCTCTGTCGCATTGACCATCCTCCACAGGTCACAGCACCCAACCTCCTTGTTGTAAAACACTGCTGCCAGAAAATGGTAATGCTCTTGACCACCTTCTTTGTAACTAGGAGTCAAATCAGAAACCAGTTCTCAGGAAAGTAGGATCCAGAGTTTTTTCTGTTTCGTAGGAAAGAAAGAGGCACCTACTACATGGGGAACATTCTCATCTCAAGGCTATTTCCATTTTTACCTCAAGTAGTCTTTGAACTACTGAAACAGAAATAGGAACCCCAGTTTCCTTGCCTTAAGGTGAGTACTCTAATCACTTAGTTAAAAGCTTTGTTCGTGCTTCCTTGAATTATTTTCTCACCAGAAAGGTTACAACTTGATGACTGGAGAATAGCCAGATAGTCTCTAGCATGTCTAATGAGTAGATACACTTAAAGTAGATGACACAGAATTAAATCTGTGGCTACATAAAGAACTGAACCCAGATTTTTCAAATTTAAGATGAATAACAGTAGGATATGTTACAAAGTTTGACAATTGTTTTTTAAAATAGAAGAGAGCTTTCTTTTCTTTCTCTTTAAGTAATGATTGAAAGCACCAACCTGGCCCTCAGTGACATAGCCAGGGACACTTAGAGGGACTTCGTAGTACAGATGAGAAGAAAATAAACAGGTACAAAAAGAGCCCTGTCTCAAATCACAATGTTATTTTTTTTGTAGTACATTTTATTCTCCTCCAAAATTGCATTCATTTCTGCTCTCTAAAAATAAAAAATACCAAACTATAAAAATGTTAAGGTAAAATACTTTTACACCTTATGCATCCTACCCCAAATATTCAAGTAATGTTTCATCTTCTAAACAAAGGGATAAATATTGATGTTGCATGGCTTGTTACTTCCATTACTACTGAAGAAACAACACAGCTAAACACAATGAGCTGTAGTCTATAATCATTTATGCATTGTACATAAAATCATTGGTTAAAGTTTAGTGACACACATCTCTGAAAATTTTTGACAAGTTCATATGGATCACAAAAAGAAGTACAAAGATAATAAGTTTAACTTGCAAGTCTAATCAGGTCAGCCAGCTTTTTAGCTGTGAGAATGATGAATATGAAGAGCCACTGCTCACATTTCAGTCCTAAGGATAAGTTTAGAGGCTGGCAAAACGTTTGCAAATTTTTACTGGGAATAGTAATGAATTTACAAGCCTGGGTTGCTTAAATTCATTTTTGTTGAGCAGAAATCTATTTTTAAAAGCACCACTGTGGAGTCTCAATGGTTTTATTCACAACATATACACTTTTGCAAACAGAATGAATTCTAATTGTATAAATTTGTCATTTCTAAGCATTTGAAGCTGTATTTCTTTCTTTGAATGCACACAGCGATCTCCTTGGCTTCAAAGGAAATAGTGTGCATGTCCCTGGTGACAGGCTTCTCTGCACTACAGGCAGAAGGAGTCTGGTGTGGAGGTATAATTGATACAAGTTTTGAATGGCTGAAGTCTCCAGGAATGGGCTCCGTATCTGAAAAAGGAAAATAGAGGCTAACTCCAAAAGGTATTTACATATGACAAGAAATGATTCCTGTACTGAATCTAGTTCTGTAACTCAGTCAAAAGGGTTCAGCTAACATCATAAAGCATGAGAGTTAAGCTCAAATAGTTTATGAATAGCAACTGCAAAAAAAATTGAATTTCTTCTTTGCTACTCTGTCAAGGGGTATATGTTATTGCTTATAATATTTAAAAAGTCATTTTTGGAGTTGAGGTATTAAGAGCTTAACAGATTAAAATATTTTATAAAATATTAACTACCCTAATAGAAAGACACATTGGGTGCCCATTTTATTTAAACATTTTAATTTTCATACGAGTCCTTCAGGGCAGCAGGAACATTACGTTATTAAAAACGAGAAGAATTGTAATAGAATGCATTTAGGGAGCAATGACTTAATAAAGTATCACAAAGAATATGTGAAAAATAAAATGGCCAAGCAATTACCTAAGTAACTAGTAGATACATGGATATATCTTTATTATAAATTTCTTATTAGATCATTTAGAGACACAGTTCATTAGTAAAGAGTCCAACACTGAAAATGTCATTTTTTTGTGAAGAACCATTACTACTTTACTCCTTATGGCCAGATATTTCTGAAAGTTTTTCAATCTGCAATACTGATCAGGGAAGTTTTGCACAAAGTCATAAAATGCTAGTTGAGGAAAGACATCAAAAGTTGATTTGCCATGTGACAGTGGTCCTTTCTCTTAATAAGACTGTATTAAAAGACGGTTACAAATACTCTTTTTTTTTTTTTCTTCCCTTATCAGCTTATTTTCTGAAGCTGCACTAGTTTCTGGACATATTTTTCCTATAATAAAGTTATTAAGACATTTTTACTTTATATTTACTTGTAGTTTAAGCTAGAATAGACTATAGGAATTTCCCTTCTAGGTTGGCACTGCCATCATAATTTTACCATAGGAACAATGTAACTACATCTAATAAAAGCCATGTCAAAAGGATATATTCAGAAGGGACTGATATTCCTGACAGTTTCTGAGCACCAACTATAAAGTGCTAACACCTTTAAAAAAGATCTGTTTTTCACCTGGAACATATTCAACATTCCTTTCAGCTGTGTCGCAAATTTAAACTCATGCTGTAACTACATGCTCACAAGATCAGCCAGAAAAGAAGTTGAAGGAGTATGTAGTTGGGGGGTTAAAGCTCACTGTTGATGCACCTCTTATTCATGATTAAATAAAATGGGAAACTGCATCTTTACAGGGGAAAGAAAGAAAAAAAAAGGATAAAAATTCTCCTGAAAAAATGAACCTAATTTTACCAATGCGTAATTGAATTGACAAATTTAAAACCAGGGTTACTTTACCAAAAACTTTCAAATTCATAGTCATCAAAGACAAAAGACCAAAAAAAACCCAACAGGTGCTGTGGCTAACAAACATTTGGTTAGGCTCATACAAGGCTAGGCTATGTTTTCTTTCATTTCCAAATAGAGTTAAAAAGTAAAATGAAATTTGTGTAAATAACATGAACTTTCAGACTATGTTCCTGTACAAAATAACAGTCTGGATAAGGTTAAATGTTCTGCTATGAATAAGCAAGTTTTCTCCATTTGAATGTTGTCGTGTCAACTCAGAGTGTTTTCTTGCTGTTATTGTTTTGTTTTTCTGTATTTATGTGAAAATGGTGGTATGTCTGAGCATTTTGGAACACTTAAGAAAGCACTACCAAAGAGAGTAACTAATTTAAAAGCAGCCTTTCCCACCCCTTATCCCCAAAACCTATGCATTCAGTTTCCATGTGGCGCAGAGACAGACATCTAAATGAAAATCTAGTCCCTCAGCTAGTTTTTTCATACTCAGTGAATGAATATGATCTACAAGCTCTTCCTCTGCTTTCTCAGAGTTTGTTGCTCACATTCAAGATCAGCTCTGATAACCTCAGAGCAGACGTCTGGGAGAAAAGTGAAGTTAATGACAGAATGTTGAGGAGGCTCAGCTGGGACTTCATCTCCTGATGCCTAGGCTGGGCTACTGGTTAGCCAGTGTTGGGAAGGCCTTGCCTGGCTGCCCTAACTTCTGGGTCAGCCTCAGATGACCGGTTCCCCAGATTTGCTCTGTTCAACAGCTCACCCAGAGACTGCGCTGGTAATGAGGGGATCCATAGGTCCCCACATCCTGCTCCTTCCTGACACCCTGCCTCCTGACAGCTGGAAAGGGATACAGCTTCCTGGTGTGGAATCCTCTCTGTGTAAGTCTTCTGGAGATAAATACACTTAAAAGGGCAGTTGTCTCTTCCAAGCCCTCCACAAAATCTTTTATACAGTATCTTTTTGGTTGTATCAATTGAGCAGGATATAGAAATTAAGTTTGGGTCTTCCCAGGTGATATGTGACCAAAAAAAGAAAACCACTACAACAACAACAAAAACACTGGGTCATGCCTCACCTCCCCTTCAGAAGCTAAGTGTAAACAGTTGGCCATAAAGAACCAGGTCACAGGGCCATGGAGTGGAACGGTATTTCTTATACTATTAAATTGGTAGCATGGCCTCTTGAAAGGCTTTGGCACAGGCTAGCTAATATTCTTCTATAAAGCGTAGGGATTAAAAGGGGTTCAGAGTAATTCCTAATAGGCAGCTTGGATGCAGCTACCCAGTTTTGGAGCTTAGAGTTCATCTGAGGTATATAGTTATAATCTCCCTCAGGGCTGAGAAACAGCCTCTGGCCAATTTTACTTTCAAGTGCCCCGTGAATGCAAGAAGCACAAAGCAAGCAGAAGTCAGCAGAAGTGAAGAAAAAAGGCAAAGGGCAAATCTCTGGCCACAGTTATTGACATTAGTGAGTTTTCACTCTTTATATTTCAACATCATTGGATGAAAAATTATTGAAGCTGTCCAAAGCTCAAGGATCAAAATCCCCGGACACTGCCGAACTGGATACTGTAGAAACTGTACATACTTATGTAGTGTCATTGCTGCTATAGAGCTTGCATACCACGCTTTTACTCAAACCTGGACATTATGGCCTTGCCTATATATGTATATGGGTAATTTGCATGTGAAGATGTTTGCAAAATAAGCAACTCTACCATCTACATCAGCTGCGGTCCAGATAACAGGTTTCTCAGAGGACTAGCATGGTTTGTTTCTGATAAGGTACCATAAGGTACACTGAGATTGTAAAGAAAATATAGGAAACAGACACAGAATGTGAATGTATAGTGAAATTACAACTGGAGTTGGGCACTTTAGGGAGTGTAGAGTAAAGATGATCCTTCCTGGTACCCATTATATCTAGGTGTGTCTATTGGGCAGACCAGGCTACAATAGAAAGAGAGGTAAACTACTGGACATTTGAGACTCAATGCTGCCAGAATTGTGATGGATGGATTTCCATGATATTGAGGAAGCTTATAAAACATAGCCAAGTTTCAACACTTGTCATGAATTTTTGTATCTCTGGTTGTTTATTGAAAAGTGGGTTTCCAATTTTTTTCAGCACAAACATTCACTCATTTAAATTAATAGAGTTTCAGCTCCACTTTTAGCAACAGGGGCCCAAGGCTTAAAAGCTGAGCTCACAGCAAGATGATGATATTATTTAAAAAACAAGTTTTTAAAAAATAAGCTACTGAGCATCTACTTTATTACATATTTTAAGAGTTTTCAGTGTGTTAAATTAAACATAAATGCAAGACTGACAAAATACCAAGGGTGGAAAAATGCACAAAAAGAAAAACAGAAATAAAAAATGTAAATTCACTGCTTTGGAGTATAGTATAACAGGACAAAGCTAGATATGATGATGTTGTCAGGTTTCTTCCCTACACTCAGTCTGAGGAAAAATATGTTAGAGTTAATAAGAATGGATTAATGGCAAATTCCTATGTCCTGGTGCAGGACAAGGTTATGACCCTGGTTAATGAGGCTGAAGCTGGTGAACACAAGTGTGAGCAGAGTGACAGTTGCCAGTGCCATGATCTGAGAGCAGCCAAGCCAACCCTGCACTAGCATTCATGCTAAGTAAGTCTCCACAAGCTCCCCAAAAATAAAATGCCTAAAGGAGATGATAAATGTACCATCAGAATAGCTCAGTCAAAACAAGCAGTAGGCCACAGAAATATACTTCTGTGGACACTGTACTGTTGTAACATTCTCTAACACCAACAGAAGCTTTCAAACTGAGAGGTTTACTTCAAGCTGTTGGTTTACATAATTCCTGTCCTGACAGTTTTATATAATAACATTTATACTGGCATTTGTTTTGCTTTGTTTTATGGCACATTCCTTACACTTGGAGAGAAACTGAGAAAAAAAAAAGTCCTTCTTGAGGGACAGAGGAAGAGCATAAAACACTGATGAGACAGACTGCAGCCAGAACTGAAAGGTAAGTAGGAAATGGGTGTTGCAGGTGTCCTGAACAGGGGTAAGTGCTTCAGCAAGAGATGGGACGCACTCATTGAGCAGACTTTCAAAAGCATGGGGAACGCAAAGAAAATGGTTAAAATTTGGCTGGGGCTATTCCATCCAGTTAGAAGTGAAGAGTCTTTCTTGAACACAGACTGATTCTTTCTGCACCATGCAGTTCACTGAAGAAATTTGTTCTGTACTATTTTGCATGGAAAAGATGAAATGTATTGTTTGTTTGGAACTGTCTAAAAATTACTCCACATAGCCTTGATGATTGGCAAATGTGGGAAGTGTGAACTGTGAGTGCAACCTAAAATGATGCAGACTTTGAACAAGAAAAATATAAACTGTTTAGAAAACAGAAACTGTTGATGAAGAATGTATGTATGGAAAATGGCCTTCTGTTTGAACTAGCTTTAACAATTAACAGTTATGAAAAAAATCAAAATATCATAGGCTCTTTTCCAGCCTAAATGATAAGTGTATTAGGGTGTATTCATAACTTAATTTAAAATGTTGCAGTTGATGAAGGTTATGCCATAAAAGAATGTATAATTTCTGACAATCAGGACAAAAGCATCTAAACAATTTCAGAGGTTTGTAACATCCACTATGCTTACTCCTGTGAAACTTTTAAACACATATTTTAGGATATAGTCATTTTTAGATAAACATTTTTACTTCAATTTCTAATTCCACAAACCCCTGAATGCCGCATCCTGAACTGCTGTAAACCAGCAGCTCAGACACCTATGAGTTTGAGACCGTAGTCCCCGAATTATGAAAGACGCAAAGTCTTAACCAACAAAATAGTATAATTGCCACAGTGAAAAATAACTGGTCAGTCTTAGAATGTCACACCACTGAACAAGCCCTTTTCTCCCTTCCATTTATGATCTGATGCCTTTGCCTATGCTAAAAAATTAATGAGAAACAAAATACTCTCCTAGAAAGATAGGCATATAAATATTTGAATGGGAAAATTAAAGGTTCATTTGAAGAAAACACATGTCTACATAAGAAACCCAGTATTTGACCCATATAAACCTAGGCATGACATTTTTACCGTGAAAAATGGGAAGTTGCTATAGGTAGATAGAAGCTGCATGCCACTATCATGAGAATAAAGCATCAGCATTATTTTTCTTATTTAACAAAAGCCAAAGACTGGACTGAAAAAAAAGTCTAAGTTGGGGAGTCAGAAGTGAAGGTGGTTAGTATCCACAAGCACCAAAAATAGAAATATTTATGTCTATCCGACAAATTTATTTCCGCTGTGAATAGATAAAAATGGTGCTTTAATGTGACTCACATATGAATCAAATAATTACATTAGGTTTTTCATGAAGCGTCTTAATATTTAAATTCGTCTCAAAAGTTCCCATGATGAGAGCTCTCTGAAGAACCAAGGTTACAATCCCATCGCTAACACCATCTTATAGGGAAACTGTGTTCACATCAGATAATTATTCCTAAGCCTTGATTTCATAATGTGCAAAATAATATGTAAAATATGTACTGGCATTAACTACTACAGATGGTAGATTTTAGATTTGACGTATTTTAGGAAAAGATGGACTGCTACCATCAGGCAATCTTATGTTTTATGTAAGACAAGCCATAGCCCACCTTCTGTCTTAGGACAACCCACTACTGCTGCTGCAGCCAGATGTGGACAGATGACCACAGCTAGGAGTCACCTCATCTAACATCAACATTTCAATGTGTTGGTGATGATAAAAGACAGGCAGCTCATCCCTTTCTAAAATGGGGTGTGCAATAGGTGAGCAGAACAGCCCATGGGAAAGGCCAGTTTTGTCTGACCATGGGGAAATCCAGAGCTCAGATCGCACGGAGGTTCTGAATTTAGACAAGCGGACGCTCATTTCTTTGACTGGTGAAGAAATTCTCGGAGAGATACAACCCTCTAGCTAAAGGAAGGGCGTTTTTCTTACCATGGCAATCACTTTTTTTCTGCTTTCTTTTCAGTTGCAGGGCTCGCTTGGCGGTGCGCACACTGCTTGAACCCTCTCTCTCTCCGGATAGCCGTGCTTCGCACGGAGACACCGAGCGGTCTCCGTGCCACAACCAGAGGCCAGCCACGGGGCGCCGAAATCAGACTCTCGGGCGTTGGGGGACAGCGAGGCCGGACCGGACAGTGACGCCGCGGAGCCCCACTACGGCCGCCGCCACCGGGCGCAGCGCAGCGCGGCGCGGCCAATGAGCGGTGCCGGGGCGGGCTCGGGAGCGGCGCCGCCGGTACTTATGCTCTGCCGGAGGGGCTGAGCAGCCCACAGCAGAGCGGGGCGGCGCGGGCGGAGGAACCGGGCGCGCTTTGGGGAGGACAGAACTCACCTCCTCTGCGGCGCCCATGGGGACAGAACGACTTTAAAGGAGTTTGGGGGGTTCTGACGACCCGCTGGGCGACCACGGGTACGGAGGGGGGGAGAGAGGGACACCTTTCGGGGACAAAGGGTGCTTCATTTTTTTTTTTTTATTTTTTTATTTTTTTATTTTTTCTTTTTTAATTTTTATTTTTTCCCCTCTCCTTGCGAGGTCCTGGCCGAAATGCGAGGCTGAGCGGGTAGACACGGGTGGCAGCTGCGAGGCCGCCTGCTTCTTCAGCATCCTGTTCTCACGTACAGCGGCTTGGCTCGGCTGCGAGCGGGCTCGGGACCCTCCGGGCCAGCGCTCCCTCTGCCCTTTCCCTTGCGGAGCGGAGAGCAGAGGCTCCCGAAGCAACTCCGTCCCCCGCGCGGAGGCGGCGGGCGGCGAGGAGCCGCCTTCTCCTGTGGCGTGGGGCTGGGCCGGGGAGCCGGGAGCCCCGGGGCACTGCCCTGCCCTGCACCCCGAAAGCGAGGGGGAAGGATCCGCGCTGGGAGTTCCCCTCACTCGGAGGGGAGGGATGTAGCGGGGGAGAAATGGGTGCTCGGGGCGGAATCGCTGAAGTCTTTTGTATGTGTCTTGATTTTTTATTTTTTTTCCTTTCTCTCTTCCTTTCCTTCCCTCCGTTTGCACTCTCGTTTTCTCTGTCCCTGCCCACCCCACCCTTCCTCCAGATCCGGCGATTCCTGCCCTCGCCTCGCCCTGTCATTGATGGGAAATCAACTGGATCGCATCACCCACCTGAATTACAGTGAGCTGCCTACCGGGGACCCCTCGGGGATCGAGAAGGACGAGCTGCGCGTCGGGGTGGCTTACTTCTTTTCGGATGAGGAGGAGGACCTGGACGAGCGAGGCCAGCCAGAGAAGTACAGCGTGAAGGGCTCCGGCAGCCCTGGCCAGGAGACGCCCACCCACCACCTCCACCACCAGCTCGTGCTGAACGAGACCCAGTTCTCCGCTTTCCGCGGCCAGGAATGCATCTTCTCCAAGGTCAGCAGCGGCCCCCAGGCTGGGGACCTGAGCGTCTACTCGGTGTCAGCGCTGCCTGCTCTCTGCAAGCCGGGGGACCTGCTGGAGCTACTCTACCTGGGGCCGTCGGAGCAGCCGCCGCCGCACTGGGCAGTGTACGTGGGCAGCGGGCAGATCATCCACCTGCACCAGGGGCAGATCCGCCAGGACAGCTTGTACGAGGCGGCCGCGGGCAACGTGGGCCGGGTGGTGAATAGCTGGTACCGCTTCCGCCCACTGGTGGCTGAGCTGGTGGTGCAAAACGCCTGCGGGCACCTGGGCTTAAAAAGCGACGAGATCTGCTGGACTAACTCCGAGAGCTTCGCCGCCTGGTGCCGCTTCGGGAAACGGGAGTTCAAAGCCGGGGGGGAGCTGCAGGCTGCTGCCGGCACCCAGCAGCAGTACTATCTCAAGATCCACTTGGCGGAGAACAAAGTGCACACGGTGAGGTTCCACAGTCTGGAGGATCTAATACGCGAGAAGCGCCGAATCGATGCCAGTGGCAAACTGAGGGTGATCAAAGACCTGGCTATAGTGGATGGGAAAGAATAGTGCGCAGTGGGGTACATGGCTATCTTCCTTCTGCCCTGCTGGGGAACCCAGCCTGCCACAGGGGCGGCCGGCTGCACCCTCTTTCCATGGGACGCGACTGAAAGCAGGATCCATGGCAACATTCCAAACAAACAGCGTTCTTTACACCCATAGCCAGTATTTTGTTTGGCTTTCAATAGTGTTAATGCTGAAAGAGCGCTTGAGAGAGAGGAAGAAAAGAGGGGGGAGGTGCACGAAGGCTGTTCTCAGTGTGTGGACAAAGTCTCTCCTGTTAATCGATGTTGACCATTCTAGCAACACGCTAATAAAATTTCAAATTGAAATTTTTTTTTTAATTTTTATTTCATGGCTTTAATCCATGACAAATTTTAAACATTGGGGGCCATGGATGTGGATTTAGCTAAATGAGTTCTTAGCTAATGTTTGCCTTGCAGCCAACTAAAAGCATCCATCATACTTTGCTAGTTGGAAGGGGTTGCAGGTGGGGGAGTTGTAAATGCTTGTTTGTTTTGTTTCTCAACACTGTTGCTTCAGCCCATAGCTGCAACGCAAATTTTGTCCCAGCCAACTTTAGTGAGACATCAGCAGGGGAAAATGCTTTCACATTTCTGGTTGAAGCTGATCACGTTTAAATGTCTTTGCTTTCTGTCTGCAGCTCTCTGCTAAATGTTATCATAATTTATAAGCTGCTTCTACCACCACTTTTTTTAATGTTCTTTTATTTTGTGAAAAAGTTGGTAAGCAGCTGTTGCCTTGAAACTAAATTTGCTGGTTGAAGGTGTATTTTAGAGAACAGTGTACTCAGTGTTGGTCCTTGGAGATCCAGCCTCTAGACTCTTATGCTTGGGCTGTGGGTTTGTATCGCTGTAGTGACTCTCATTGCAACACTGCATCACTACCTCTTCATGCACAAATCAACAGAATCCTGCAAGAAACAAATAGGTTTGAATTCTGCATGTTGTCTTTTTAAACAGCAATTTATTACATAGTTACAATTCCACTTGAAGTATATGTAATGTGGCCAAGTTCATCTTGCAATTCATATTCTAAGCAACTAAGAATCCCATTCAGTCTTAAGTTTAAGAATCCACAGCTGCATTTAAGATGCCTTTTAATGTGATGTGGGTAATGCCTTGTTGTATTTCAGATCCAATTCACTCATTGCTTAACTCGCAGTTTTGAAGTGGAAGATCAAAATATTAAATATACGTAAAATCTAAAAAATTATACTGGGGCATTTCTAAATCTGTATTCTATTTTTATTACTCTGAGCTGCGTACAACTTGTAATAAGTGATTTGTCTTTGCATGTTTCAGTGCTGGAAAGAAAATGCATTTGTTTTTGTCCCCTCTTCGCACATCAATGTCAGATGACAGAATAGAAGCAACACCCCTGTTCTGTATGTACAATACACTCCACCCCCTATCAATGTACTGTATCCTGGCTCCTTTTTGTATTAAACAATGTAATTAGCAACCTTGATGCAACAGTAACTTCATTTCTACAAAGGGTTTGCCTCCCATACCTGAAGCTGTGAGGGTGGAGTGTAGTTCACTATAAGTATCAGCATAAATATGTTTAAAAAAATAAATAAATACACTCTTTCAGTGAAGGTCATCAAACAGGCTTTGTTTACTGATGCACATAGCATAGTTATGCCCTAATAGGCAGTGTTACTTTTATTTTTCCTTTAACCTTAAAGTACTGTTGGTACAATGGGGTAAGCATTATTTATTTATTTTTTTTTAAGTGAATTGCCATACCTTTTGTTAAATATGTACTATTTTAACATTAGATGGGTAATAATGTCTGGTAACGATAGCTCTTTTCCATAAGATTAACAGTCTTCAACACTGTATTTATGTATTTATATTGCATTACATCTCCCAGGCTGTTCCAGTTGCTGAGTACCTCATAGCACTTGAGGGGAGTGCTGTGAGATTGCAGAAAGATACTGATGTTGCAGCCAAAGCACTTAAGGAAAAAATGGAACATAAATAGTAGAAGGAAGAGTGGGCAAAAGTAATTTAATTCTTCCTTGTAAGATATGTTGAAGAGCTGGGGTAGGAAGAGATGGGAGAGGAAGTGGCAAGGTGTCTACAAAGACAGAAAGAATGGGGTCATGTAAATTTTGAATTCTGAAATGTTTTTTTCTTTAAATTGTTCACAAATTAATAAAGTAGGGTTAGACAGAGGATCAGTGCAAAAATAGCATTGCAGGTCCTCACCAGTGCAAATTTAGAGCATAGTGACTTTAAACGTTTCACTGTGCTTTGCAAATACTCCATCTCTCTATCTAAATAGCCTTTAAAACTGTTTGTTGTGGGGTTTTTTGATTTATTTATTTTTAATGACTAACTAACCTTCATGAACATGTTAGTTTTCCTTAGCTGGCTTTGCTAGATGTGTGTTTATTCAAGCTCTGTCAGAAGTCTTTGGCATTTCTCCAGATTTGTACAGATAAAAGTAACAAGCAAATTAGGGCCTCGGTCCTTTGCATGAGGTCTGGAAGAATGTATTGGAAATATTCATAAATGGCACTGATCTGAGATTACTGCTGAAACTGTTTACAGCAGTCTGCTGTTCACAACAGAGATATCCACACGGATCATTTTACTTTCACTGGATTTTAGTCCTGAGTATCTGAAGCAATCTGGTCCTAATTCATAGTCCACTGAGATTAATAGAAAGGTTCTCACTGACTTCGGTGAGCTTTGGGTCAGGCTGTGTTGATTAGGAGGTGGTTAATATTTGTGGACCTTGAAGAGAGTGAGGTTTAAGTGGCACTGAGGAGAACAGAAGGGCCACCTTTCTGAGGTCAGAGACAGGCAATATTGTGGAAATAGGCAAGAAAATGGGCTAGACCTCAAACAAGCAGTGTCAATGTGAAGAATCAGTAGGAAAAGAGTGAAAAGTGAATAGAAATGATTGTTCGGTGCCTTGAAACAAGAAAGGAAAGGCTGGGGAGCAGTTGGATGCAAGTGAGGCAATTATGTGTATGACTGACAGGTAGAAAAGTAATTGATTATACTCATCTTTCAGGATCAGTGACCTGTCTGAGTTAACATTTCCATTTCCATCAGTAAAGATATTGACAAATTATATTATATCCATGGGATCTGTTTACATTCTTCAGTCTAGCGTTGTAGGGTAAATATTTATATCTAAGCAATTCATTGCCATTGAAGTACTGTCTTGTAGTGTGACTGCAGGTTTAGGTTACTTGAAAATCCTGCTTTTGTGCCATGTTTCAAGTTTTCTGTTAACTATTTGGGGAGCTGCGTTATTGAAACTGTTTTGCTTGGATACTATATTCCTTGTCATTTCCAAACGTGGTCTTTTGAATTGCTTTGAGGCTAACATGTTATTAAAAAAATTGTTTCATGTTCTCTTGAAGCATAGAGAGCCTTTGTGAAATGTTTTACTGGCATGACTGAATTGTTTGCTGGTTATTGGCTGGGTATGTAGGTACAGAAGTATGGGAATGAATGGCAAAATGGGTTTTATCTCCATCAGCTCTGTATTTCTGTGTTACTTTGCTTTCATTTTTTAGGACTTCTTCCCCTCTAAAAATTATCTGTATGCAATTCGAGAAAGACAAAAACCTTCGTTTTATATATACATATATATATATTTAGGGCAATATTATGCTACATTGATTTCAGATTGAAATCAGGTTGTAACAAGATATGGCCTTCAGGGTGTGACAAGAAATGGCCTTCAGTCTGTGCAGAGTGTGCATGATGTTAATTATCCTGCCTGATTTAATTTTAGTGTCTTTCATATTCAGGTAAGTGATGTGCAAAAATCTGTCAGAATTTATAGACCTCTTTATGCGATGTGTTGAGTAGCTGTAACTCCAACCAAAGTTGGCTGAAGTTGAGAGAATTCTGGATCTCACTGGAGACATGGAACATCCTGTAGGATCAGGTACCTCAACCCCCGCTTCCCCCCCTCCCATCCCCCAAAGTTTCCAAATCTGTCTTTTCAACTACAGAAGAAATAGGGGACTGTGATATCTACTGTGACTTTTACTGTTATTTTCTATGAAAGTTTTCTACTAGAGTAGCGTAGAAGTGTTCTGTCCATAATTTTACTTAGCTGTGATGAAAAAAAAAAAAAATGGTATGTGTTGATGCTTATATTTTGTAAATGGTATCTTTTCTGCTTTATATCCCAGGAGAAAGATGACGGTCTCAGTCCAAAAGGATTAATCCAGAAATATGTAGGGAGGTATGATTGGGCTACTAAGCTGAGAGCAGTTTCACTGCAGAATTATGTTTGAAAGGATAATACTGTATGACTAGAGTGTGATCACGTGCTGCTGTTTGTTCATGAATGTCAGTGTTTCCATGGCAAATCTGGAATTTATTTACTTAATTATTATGAAATATGAAACTTCTCTGCTCTCTGAGTTCAAATATGACAAGTAAAACAGCCCTACATTCATGGATCCTCTGAATGGTAGTTTGATCTGTCAATTCTTTATTTTTATTTTCCAGTTTCACTATAAAGAAAATTAATACTGGGATCAGATATTTTATTGAACTGCTTGTAAATGAAAAGAAGATGTTAGGTTGGGAAAAAGGCAGTGAGGATTCTTCTGTTACTTGGAGTGCTATTGGGTTTATTCTCAGTTTATATACGTATAAGCTATTAGTCCTACAGTGGTTTTTTTGTTTTTTTTTTTAGAAAGTAATTTTGACACTGTGTATTCTCTCTTTTGCAATATGATATTAATTTACATATATAATACATATCCCTTGTGAAATTATTCTTTTTCCATATATTGAAATGTCACCATGCCTTGGAAAGTAATCATTATTTGAACCATGTGTATTTTTGAAAAAGAAATTAGAATTTGTCTGATAGCATTTATACTTGAGCAGATAGTAATATTCACTTTCACTTCTTAATTTTTAATATTTTGCATCATTAACAAACCTACTCAGGTGGTTATATCCAGAGGAATCATCAGCATAGGCCATATGGATTGAGATAGTTGAGATTATGGTTTTATAAGATCACATTTCATTTTTTTTCTTTTTCTTTTTGAAAGAATATTTTTATTTGAGGAATTCTGGGAGTTTCTGGTTCTGCATATGATCCAAGCATAAAACCACTTGCTTCTGCAAATGTTTATAATATCAGGTCCTTTACCATAAGGGTAAAGGAAGGGTCTGTCCCCTTCATCTGGCATTTACTTGAGGTTAAAGTTGAGGAGTAGGTCTAGCCAACATCCTGACCATCAAGTGCACACAATTCAATGGAAAAATTATGTACATGGTGTTTACCAGAAGAGCCTTAATTGCATATTCTTGCTTGTACATATAGTAATTATCTATGCAATTCTGGCAATTTCCTAGGTAAAGTGGGTTAATGCTTTTCAAATATATATATTTTTTCCACTTGTGTGACTGTGTGGGTCCAAGTGTTGGACACTGACAGAAGATGGGGAATTAGCATATGGGCTTGTGTCTCTGAAGTGCCAATCCCCTGCTGTTTTAGTAGGGAGGCAGACAGAATTTGAAATTAATGTGAGTACTGCAAAAAAAAAAGGTGGGAGAGTTAGTTAAACTTTTCAAGAAAGAAGTTCAAGCTAAACTTGAAAGCTGCTCTTTCTTCTCCACGGTTAGTGAGGGTGAGTAACTGTGTATCCCTCATGCACAAAACCATTCCCATTTTGGAGATTCGTTATACGCTCTAGGCTAAATAGTGAGCAAAATAAGCAGTGTCATCAGCCTTAAGTAACAAATAATTTTTCTAAGCCTAAATGCTATTTGGATACACAGTGACATTGGCAATCTACTTTGAAAGTTGCATGAAGTCATGAACTAAACTTAGAAATGAAGGACTTCAGTCGTCTTTCTACTTCCTATGTAGGGGAGGTTAGAGCTTGTTACCAGTACCTACTTCATGAACACAATCCTGTGGTGGGCTTTACAATGAAGCAATCAAGCCCTAGAATTAGTTCTAACGTAACACTGAGATCCTATATCCAATGGCATGAGTAAATACAGAGTGCCACATCATGACCCTCCTTCACAGCAGAGTACTTTACACCACAGAAGGAATATTCCTCATAAGTTATTCAGTGTGAGTAAACACATCACAATCTGGTCTCAAAACAGATAATCTCTTTCCATATGTTCCCATTGTTTCCACGTGCCCTTTCAGTCAGTTGAAAGCAATATTAAAGACTGAGTCTGAAAAATGTGATAATTGTTTGTAAATATTTAAACAGAAATTTATATGCATATTGATATACAACTAATATATATAATATTGTAAATATGTATACATATGCATAATGCATACATAATATGTATATAATATGCATATGCACACACAATAAGTCTTGACTGTTTTGTTAGTACTGGTAATAAATGGCAGTCATTTCTGTATGTATATTAACTGTGCAACAAATGGATACCCAAGAATATACTGGCAGGATATAAACACTATTCAATATTTATTCTTCAGGGTATGCCATGGTCTTCTGACATCAAGATAAGTTGATTAAATATGTGGGTTTTGATGTATTGCTACTTACTGCAGGAAAAAAATCAAGGAGCACTACACTTTGCAATAACAAACTATCCTTTTAGTATGAACTATGCTG